TGCCCGCAGCTGTGCTAGAGGGGGAGGTGGCGGGGGGGGGGGGGGCGGTAAGCCCCAGTGTCCAGGCCCTTCTCGGCCCAGCCCCACTCGCGCCCTTGCCGTAAACATGCCCGGGAGAAGGGGGAGGTGAGAACCGCCACACTGCCCCAGTGACAAGGACATGGCCACTTCTGTGGCGGGGGGGGGGGGGCGAGGACGGCAGCCCCACTCGCGCCCTTGCCGTAAACATGCCCGGGAGAAGGGGGAGGTGAGAACCGCCACACTGCCCCAGTGACAAGGACATGGCCACTTCTGTGGCGGGCGGAGGAAACTGATATCGTCTGCCTCCCCCAGGTGAATACGGAGAAAATACCTTTTCCGCTGTCCGGTTTCCTCCTAGGAAAAATTCCCCACCTGGTGCTTTTTACTTCGACGTGGTGTAACGTGACCCTGGATCCCATTGGCAGGACTTGACAGTCTTTCTGGGTCCTATTTATTCTTCATAAAGTAATTTCCCTGCAAACTTAGGTAGAAAGGTGAAAGATTTCAAATGCACCTTTCCCTCTTGTTTATTCTACCCCTACATGGGGTAGAAAAACAGGTGGATTAATTACCCTTAAGGCCAGCACACGGTGCTTTTTGCCTCTCCCACACACATTCCCAGCCACAGACATTTCCTTTCATCCAAAAATATTTAATAAGCACCTTACAGAACTACTAGAACTACCTTGGCCTTTAGTCATTGGAAAGAACTTAAAAGAGTTGAGGTTCTTATCCCTTCTAAATGGTTGTATATCCTTGGTGTTGTCACGTTTTCCTGAGCCCCAGTTTTCTAACATGTAAAAGGAGTTATTTGGGTAGTATATTGACCAAATTTTCTCCTAAACATTTCAGAAGTCCACCATGGTTTTGTGGAAATTTATGTAACTTTTTTAGTATAGATGAATGTAAAGAGAAGGTGGACGGACACACAGTTGACCAACAACATGTAAAAAAGGAGATGTGTATTTGGTAGGTCTCTGGTGTCTGCAGAGCATCCCTTCTGGAGCTGGGGACATGAGCCAGCTGAAGGTATATTATGTGTCATTGATGGCCTTGTTAAGTGAAAGGATAGAGTCCTCATTAGGAAGTGTGGCTTTTGACACTGTAAACTACTGGTCATTAGCAGACATGGAAAATATTTTCAGTTCTTAAGTGGTAATCAAATATTTGTATTTATCACACCTTGTAAGTAAAATTTAAATTGCTTAAGAGAAGAATAGGACATTGTTAAGGATCCCTAGGCTAGACATTTGGGGGGTGGAGAGCTAGGAAGAGTGAGGATCATATTTCAATAATCCATTAAAGCCACTAAACATGTTTATAGTAATTTATTTCTAAGGCACTCTTTGTGTCTGTTCAAATAAGGTAAATATAAAAACAGGAGGCGAACTGAAACAGGCAAACAGAATAGCCAGGTTTGCAGGTACTTGGTAGTATGGGTATTGGATTGCCCCTTCCATGGTCTGTAGTTTCTGGGTTAGCAGTAATAAGGCCGGGTTTTGAGCACTCACTCTGTTCAGGACACCATCTTAAACACTTCATTTCTAAATCTCTATAAAATAAGTCTTCCCCCAGTTTTGTGCATGATGAAAGAGAAGCTCAGAAGGGTTAAACAACATACACAAACCACAATCAGTAAGAGGTGGAGCTAGATTTGTCCCCTCTCTCTGGCTCTAAGCCCAGGAAATTTCCACATAATGTCCCTCCCTGCTCTGGACCCATTAAGCTTTGGCCCTTACCGTCCTCTGCTTCATGCTTTTAACAACTAACTTCATTTGAACATAGTTGTATGACACATGTCAATGTTTATCCATGTAGGATCATCTATTTCTTAATTTTTTAATAGTTTTTGCTATAGGACACATATGCATGTGGGGAAAGGGGAGAAAGTCAGAGATTACCCTCCAAGGACAATGGCCCTGCCACTATCTCTTCTCCTCCATTCTCCTTTCAGGATTCTGAGCATGTACACATATGTGCCTGGCATGATTTTCAAGCTGCTGAGTCTGATACTCAAACCAATCAGTTGGCCATGAGGGACCTACCTGCCTTAACTTCCATGCCACCTGCTGGCCCAAAAATCTGTATATTTCATTTTTTAAAAAAATATTTATTTTATTTAACTGATTATTATTCAATACAAAGAGAGAGACAGACAAAGAGAGGAGCATGAGAAAGCAAGCTGCCAGGTCTGGGACTTGAACTGCCTTTGGCCATGAGGGAGTCCAGCACCCTAACTGCCACACCATGTGCTGGCCTCAGTAATCTATATATTTGTAATGCATATACATCAATACATATATATTTAGCCATTTGTTTTCACCATTTTAGATTGAAGACAATATAAAAATTAATATAGCTGAAGATAAATAATTCTAACAGGTTTTTTGGTCTGACTTCTTCTTTTTTTTTTGGAGAGATTTTCGCTATAGGGTGCGTGCGCTCTCCAGACAGACAGAGAGAGACATAGAGACAGAAAGCGAGAAATCACCCCCAGGGGGGATGGTCACGCCGCAATCCCTTCTCCTCCATTCTCCTCTCGGGATCTTGGGCACGCACGCACACACGCCTGGCGTGAATTTTAAGCCACCGGGTCCGGTACGCGAACCGCGGTCGACTACATGGGAATCCAGCGACATAGCCATTACACTAACTGCTGGTTCCCGATCTGACTTCTTTTGATATTCAGCAAATCTTATTTTAGCAATCTCATTGTAGGAAAATGAGTGTGTGTCTACTAATTGCTTTAGTACATAGCCTTGGGAAACAGGGTTTATTAGGTTGGAGGAGAGATGTAAAT